CCGCATAGACGCCGCCCTCAGGGACCACCCCCTGCGCACCCTCTATGGTGTCGACAAAACCCTACGCCTGCTGTGCCCTGGACGACCGTCGTGCTGTGCTGTGTTGTGCTGTGCTGTGCTGAGCTGTGCTGAGGTGCTATGCCGTGCTGTGCAGTGCAGTGCTGTGCTGAGCTGTGCTGTGCTGAGCTGTGCTGGGCTGAGCTGTGCTGCGCTGCGTGAGAACGAGAAGGAGGAGGAGGGGAGGTGAGGAGTGAGGGTCGCGGGTGCGACGCGGCAGGGATGAAAACCGTAACCCCACGAAACATGCGGGGAAAAATCGTAAGTGTTCAAAAACTCCCTTCCAACACCATGAGACGAAGTGCACACGCGCGAGTCGTCGCGCGCGCATGCCGACATCCTCCAAAAACCTTCGGTTCCGGATGGGTTACAACATCGAGTTTCCAAACAACATACACACAGGGTTTCGCAACACTGCTTTGCTAAAACACTCACGCGCGCGCTCTTGCGAAATCTGAAAAACCATAGGTCTTTTCATTTTTTTTTTCTAAAACTACTACCAAACGGGCTTCTCGGGAATGCATGTCGAAATCTTTCGAACACCCTTAGGCGCGTGCCGTCGCGAGCATCCTGCGCAAAAAACAGGACGAAGTGCGCACGCGCGCGAAGTCGCGGGCGCATCATTTCAACATCCTTTAAACACCTTAGGTTTCGGAAGGATTTCAAAATCGAATGTCCAAAACGCATACAAACACACAGGGTTTCGCAACACGGATTTTCAACAAAAACAGTGTGCGCGCGCGCTCTTGCGTCGTCATCTTCGTCGTCGCCGTCCTCCCTCCTCCCTCGTCATCGTCGTCGTCCTCGCCGTCGTCGTCGTCTGTCTTTCCTCGTCGTCGTCGTCGTCTTGGCGTCGTCGTTGTTTCCGTCGTCGTTGTTGCCGTGGTCGTCCTTCCTCCCTCGTCGTCTTCGTCGGCGTTTCGTCGTTGTCCCTGCTATTTCGTCGCCGTCGTCGTCGTCGTCGTCGTCGTCGTCGTCGTCGTCGTCGTCTTCCCTCCTCCCTCGTCGTTGTCGTCGTCGGCGTCGCCGTCCTCCCTCCTTCTTCGTTGTTCGCGTCGTCGCCGTCCTCCCTCCTCCGTCGTCGTTGCCGTCGTTGCCGCCGTCGTCGTCCTCCCTCCTCCCTCGTTGTCGTCGTCGTCTTTGTTGGTGACGTCGTCGTCGATCGTCGCCGTCATCTTCGTCGTCGTCGTCGTCGCCGTCGGCGTAGTCGTCGTCGGCGGCGTCGTCGTCGTTGTCATCGTCGTCGTCGTCGTCGTCGGCGTCGTCGAAGTCGTTGGAGACGTCGTCGTCGTCGCTGTCGGCGTCGTCGAAGTCGTTGGAGACGTCGTCGGGGTCGTCGTAGTCGTTGTCGGTGGCATCGTCGTCGTTGTCGCTGTCGTCGTCGGCGTCGTTGCCAAGTGCCATTTGGTATCCACCGTCACGGTCTTAAGAGGTTTTGCAAACCAAGTTGCGGGTGGGTGGGTGGGATGTTTGCGCGAGCAGTGGAGTCGACAACTCACTGCGAACAGAAATTAACTGCACCACACAAATCGCACCGCATAGGTTGCCCCACAGAGAACACTACACATACTGCTACGAAATTGCTGGGAACACATTTTGGGGGGTCCACGCTGGCTAACATGACCCTGGGAGGGTGGGAATGGCCCCGCCACTGACGTAACTTAACTTCTACTGAGTCCTCCTCCTCCTCCTCCTCGCCTCGGTCCTCCTCATCCTCAGCTCCTCCTGGAGCTCCCCTCCCAGAGATCCTGTGTATAAATTGTTAAATGCGTTAGGTGGGGACCGGCTCAGGAGGGAAAATGTCGATCTGGAATCGGCAACATGTCGCCGATAAATCGGCGATAGGCCCTCAATAGGGAACCCACACGTTTCTGGACGCCTGGCCAGGACGGGATGGGGGGGTAGTCGGCATCTTCTGGATTAGCGAATCGGCTAACATAGCTGATGTTCCCGAAGCCTCGCGCTGGGAGGTGACCATGTGCAGAGGAAAGCGCCCGGCGGCGGGGCTGAAGCCATCTACATGCGGCAGATATGCCCCCGATTGCAAATCCGCACGTTACTTGGCGGGGTGGGCTATCAGGCCCCTGTCGGCGATGATTGTGCGAGTGGGGGTCGATGCAGCCCCCCCTGAGCCTATCCGCCCCTCAACGCTGCCCCTTGACTTCCGTGTCATAACTCGGCTCTCTGGCGCCCGTTCGCGACAAACCGGGCGTCGCAGGAACGCCCTCGGCGCGCCGCAGCTGCTGGAAGGCACCACGAGGCTGGAAAACCGCCGAGAAGCGACTGGCACGCCAGAAAACCTCGAGCCCGAAAACATCGAGCCTCGAAACATTGAGCCCCTTCCCCCCCCTAACATTGCCCCTGACCTTCTCTCCCCTGCCCCCCTTGGCTCCGCGCGGGCTGCGGCTGCGGCTCCGCTGGCGGCCAGGCGGGTCGTCGCCGCCGCGGGGGTCCTCCCAGGGCAGGCGCGGCCGCGGGGAGCCGTGGCGGAAGTGCCGATGTCTCGGCGCCCGCGTCTCGATCGTCGTCGCAATCGTGGATCGTCGTCGATCGTCGTCGCCGGTCGTCGTCGTCGTCGCAGGCGACGCTGTCTTCGTCGGCGTCGTCGATCGTCGTCGTCGCCAGTCGTCGTGGATCGTCGACGTCGCCGTCGTCGACGTCATCGTCGTTGTTATCGTCGTTGTTGTCGTCGACGGCGACGACTGGATCGTCGTCTTTCGTCGTCATCGTCGTTGTGGATCGTCGTCGATCGTCATCGATCTTCATCGTCGATCGTCGTCGTCGACGTCGCTGGCGCGGGCGCCGGCGAGGTGGTGCCTCTGCTCGCGATCTGGGGATGGTCAGTGGGCCAGCGGGGCTTTGAGGCGCAGTCGTCGATCGTCGTCGCTGGTCGTCGTCGTCGCAGGCGTCGTCGTTGTCGCTGGTCGTCGTCGTCGTCGCAGGCGTCGTCGTCGTGAATCGTCGTCGACGTCGTCGTCGTTGTCGTCGCTGATGTCGTCGTCACAGCCACAGATCGTTTTTGTGTGCCAATTGTCGTCGATTGTTAACGTCGTCATCGTCGTCGTCGTCGCCGTCGTCTTCGTCATCGTCGCCGTCGTCGTCGAACGAAACGACGTCGTCGACGTCGATCGTCGTCGAAAACCATCGTCGATCGTTGTCGCTACCGTGGTCGTCGACGTCGCTTGCGTGGCCGCAGTCGATGTAGAGGCTCTGCTCGCCCTTTGGGCGCGGTCAGTTGGCCAGTGGGGCTCTGGAACGGCCCCGTGTGGGGGCAGCACGCAGCCGAGGCCGCGGCGAGGATCAAGTCCAAATCTTTGTGTTTGGCCCAACCATCCTGTGGTGTTGGGCCCTCGTTTTGAAAAGACAGCGCCCCGCGTCTCACTCCTCCTCTCTTCCTCCCCTCTCCTCCCTCCGCCCATCCCTGCCTCTTCCCTCCGCACCAGTCAACCATTTCGGCACACCCCTCACACGCTTCGTGGCCCCAGATGGAGCTCCAGCGAAGGCCCAAGTGTCTGCGTTCGCATGCGCCCACCGCACCCATGTCGGCACACCCCTCACACGTTTCGTGGCCCCATGTGAAGCTCAACCGAATGTTCTAGTTGCTGCGTTCGCATTCGCCCACCGCGCCCAGTCTGGCACACCTCTGACACATTTCGTGGCCCCATGAGGAGTTCCACCGAAGGCGTCAATGGCTGCGTTCGCACGCGCCCACCGCACCCGTTTCGGCACACCCCTCACACGTTTCGTGGCCCCGTACGGAGCTCCATCGAAGGCCCCTTGGCTGCGGTCGCATGCATTCGCCCCGCCCGTGTCGATACAGCCCTTACACGGTTCGCGGCTCCAGAAGAAGCTCCACCGAAGGCCTCATTGGCGGTGCTCGCACGCGCCCATCGATGTCGGCACACCCCTCTCACGTTCCGTGGTTCCAAAGGAACGCCACCGAAAGCTCAAATTTGCGGTGTTCGCATGCGTCCGCCCCACCCGTTGCGGCTCACCACTCACGCGTTTCGAGGCCCCATGGGGAACGCCACCGAGAGCCCCAGCGGCGGCGTTCGCATGCGTCCGCCTCGCTCGTTTCGTTACATCCCTCACACGATTCGCATCCCCATAGGGAGCTCCATCGAAGGCCACAGTGGCGATGCTCGCGTGTGACACTGTCGTGCATCAGCGTGGTGGGGTGGTGCCACTCCGCGGCCAAGCTCCGTCGCGACCGCCTCATTCGCAAGTCCTGACGGCGCCCATCTTGCTTCATGCGTGGCTTCGCCCTTGGGGTCTGGCCCCTGAGGCTCCTTGATCTCTTGGGCCTTCTGCGCCGCGCTGGTGGGCCCCCGAGGAGTGCGCTTAGCCGGCGTCGTGGCAGATGGCGCCCGAGCTCTCCTGGGCGGTGACGAGGTTCCACTGCGACCGAGCCCCGCGGCTTCGTGACCCTTCCAATCCTCGCGCCTCACCTGGGGGAAGCCCTTCTGATCGCACTCGCTGCCCTTGCGCCTCTTCTCCCAGTTGCCAATGTATGGCGCCATTGCGGTGGGGCTTGCGATCGGGGCAAACATGATCCACTGGGCGGTTTGATGGCAGCTCGCTGCTGGTTGGGTCGTGCATGCCCAGCGGCACGATGACCTGGCGCCGAGCAGCCGAGCAGCAGACGCGACCGCGCGCCTCGCCACTACTCTGCCCCAGGCCTCAGCCCTCAGCGCCCCCGCGACGGCCGTGCCCCTTTTGCGTCTCTGCGCAATCCTTGCCTGGGCGGGTTCGCAGATGCCGTGTGCCTAGGGGCGTATTTCAGTGGGGGCGACGCTGGATGCGGGGGCGCCCGCGCGATCGGCAGGGCGTGGCGCGGCCGCTCCAAGGGCGCGACGATGAAAGGGGCGCGCCAGCCGATTCAATCGTCGATGTCCTGCCAGACTTTACCTTCTGGTCATGAATCCACTCCGCAACGCGGCCCTTCAGATGTCCAACGACGTGCCCTGCGCGTTGAGCGCCCGGGTGAGAGTGCCCTTGCGGAGGGGGGTGGCCTGCCCATGCGCGGCCGGACTGGCGGCCTCGGCCCAGGCTCCTCCGCGCGCTTGTCGATGCCCGGCTCGCCCCGCACGTCCTATTGCATGAGCACCTTCCAATCCTCGCGCTCGGCCTTGGGGGGCTCTTCTGGTCGCGCGCGCTGCCCCTGGGCACGTCCGCCCAGTTGCCGATGAAGCCGCTGCAGCACGGCCAGTTCTGGGTCCTTGGTCCGCGACGATCAACGAGCTTTGTTTTTGGCGATGGCGGCGTCACGCCTCTGGAAATGGAGTGCCCATGGCTACCTGGGACTTGGTGGCCTTCTGGGGAACTGGCAGCGCAGCAGCCCGTGTCCAGGTTTGGTCCTGCATCCTTCTCCGTGGCTTGCTCCACTGCGCCCCAGTCCATATGCACCTCGACCCAATCGGCGTCGCTGGAGTGGGAGTCGGCGTTGGCGTTGACCCTGGTGCCCCAATTGCCTCTAGACCTTCTGCCTTTTGTCTGGTGCTTCTTCTGGCGGTCCATCGGCCGTGGGGTCGTAAAGTCCAGCTGGTCCGGGTCGTCTCAGTTGGACTCTTCCTTTCGTGCATTGCACCTCCACTGCTGTCGCCTGGCCCGTGGGCGGGCGCGCCATCGGCGCCAGGCCCGCCGCTGCCAGCCCCGACGGCAGGCCCTTCCATGGCTGCGTCGGCTTCCTTCTTGGCGTCGTCTGCTGCCTCCCAGGGGATGGCGAGGGGCGCCTCGCAGGCCGCGTTGACCTTGGCGTTGCCTTGCATGTAGTGCTGGGGATTGCTGGCTGCCGCCCTGAGTCCGTCCAGCCCTGCTCCTCCCGCGCTGGCCCGAGCCCGCTCCGTGGTCAGGGCATGTTGCTTCTCCATGTCGCCGAGCTTGCGGGCGTGTTTGCCCTCCTGCTGCTCGATATTGTACTTCGCAACCTAGGGTGAACTCATCGTCGGGGCCTCTGGCTTCTCCTCGTACTTGATGGCCAACTTCTTGAGCGTGACGGCGATGTCCATGCCTGCTCCGGCTCCTCCGATCTCGGCTTCGAACTCGATCAAGGCTGCCTGCTTAGCTGCCGTTGCCTGGCGCTTGTGGGCCCTGGTGCTCGAAGCGCTTGAATTCCCAAGGAGTGCATTTCGTGGTTGCCGCAGCTGATGGCGCCCACGCTCCCCTTGGTGACGGTGTTGCACTGCGACTGAGCCCCGCAAACTTGTGGTTCTTCCAAACCTCGCGTTCGACCTTGGGGGGGGCACGTGCTGTCGCACTCGCGGCATTTGACATCGGCGCCCAGTTGCCGATGAAACCACAGCGGCACGGCCACTGCGGCGTTCGCAGTCTTCGTCACACCACTTGCGCTGCTTCTGGCCACAGCCCCATGTTTCTGAATATGGCGTGCCAAGGCGAAACCCGGAATCAGAACGCTGGACAACTGGCTGCGAAGGGCAGGACCGTGCAGGGTAGAGCAGGGTCGAATCGAAGGGCGCAAATTCAATACAGTAGGGTAAATAGTGGAGTGAGGCCGTGTAGCGTAGAGCAGACTAAGTAAGAGTACGGCATGGTATAATGAAGTGAGTAGGGCAGAGTAGAAGAGAGTAGGCAAACGTAGAACACTAGTGGAAGAGTAGAGCAGGAGTGCACTAGCGTAGGGCAACGTACTATCGATCATTTCAATGTTCTGATCTATTTTGCGTATGTGCCGGCTGATTTCGTGTTTGGCGTGACGGAAGCGTTTTCAGACCCTGGACGGTCAGAAGAAGAACCAGGACGGGCCGCTGTAGACTGGTCGACCAAATCGATTAGCTATTCGTTCGCTGGCCTTTGGGGGTAATTCCATGGTGACGTCGGCGTTAGGACGATATGGGGGGAACACAAATCCCTGAAGCAAAATCGAAAACACTGGGCCCCGCGTATGACAAATGTATACGTGGCCAATTCCGGGGATTGTTGGGATATGTTTTTGGCACTTGTTGGGTGGTGTGGGGGGGTCGTCGTCACGGCTTGGTTCGGCTCGAAGTCTTAGTCAGGACGCGCTCCAGGAAGGACCTGGAGGTCGACTTCGAAGGAGGAGCCTCCTCCATCTGGTTTCACAGAAGTAGCGGGGCTAGCTGAATGGGGCCCGTTGCCCTCAGATCCAGAGGTCGTGGGAATCACAACCAGCACTGTGGTCTGGCTTCGGGCGCGCGTGCCCAAAAGGGTCGATCTGGCTCGACATGCGAAGCTCAGAGGCAGGATCGAAAACTCCAGGCGTGCTGTGTTCCACGACATCGGAGAGAGCGTGATCCACCGCCACTTTACTGTGCAAAATTATCCCCCTCTACCTCCGGAGCCCGGGGTCCCCCCCCTGCAAAAATCCCCCCCCTGCTGGACCCCCCCCCCCCTCCCCCTCCCTTCCCCCGGCAACCCCCCCCCCCCCCCCCTAACCCCTCCCCCCCCCCCGTCCGGAAAACCGGGGGGGTCACTACCGGTTCGGCCCCCCCACCCCCACCCCCCCACCCCTCCAGAAAACCGGGGAGGGTCACTACCGGTTCGAACACCCCCCCCACAGCTGGCAAACGATTCCCGGGTCCCCATCTCCGTCCGCACCACATCCCCCACCGCTGTCCCCAGCAACACCGTGCCCACCACCACTGTCCCCACTTTTCCCACCATCGTCCCCACTGTCCCCAGCAGTGCCCCCACCACTGTCGCACTGTCCCCACTGTCCCCACCACTGTTCCCACCACGGTCCCACTCTCCCCACTTTCCCTACGGTCCCCACCACTGTCCCGCTGTCCCCACTGTCCCCGGTCTCCACTGTCCCCGCCGCTGTCCCACTGAGCTGTCCCATTGTTCCCACCAATGTCCCCACTGTCCTCACCACTGTCCCCACTGCACTCCTGTCCTATTGTCCCACCGCCGTCCTCACTACCGCCCTCACCACTGTCCCCACCATCACCACTGTCCCACTGTCCCCACCACTGTCCCAGTGTCCCCGTTGTTCCCACCATTGTCCCCGTTGTCCCCATCAGTGCCCCCACCAGTGTCTCACTGTCCCCACTGTCCCCACCCTTGTCCCACCACGGTCCCGCTCTCCCCATTGTCCCCATTGTCCCCACCACTGTCCCACTGTCCCCACTGTTCCCACCACCGTCCCACTGTCCCCACTGTGCTGTCCCACTGTCCCCACTGTCCCCACCACTGTTCCACTGTCCCCACTGTCCCACTGTCCCCGCCGCTGTCCCACTGTTCCCACCACTGTCCCCACTGCACCACTGTCCCATCACCGTCCTCACCACCGCCTTTACCACTGTCCCCACCACTACCGTCCTCACCACTGTCCCACTGTCCCCACCACTGTCCCCACCACTGTCCCGCTGTCCCCTCACCACTGTCCCCACCACAACCATCCCCACTACTGTCCCACTGCCCCCACCACTGTCCCACTGTCCCCACACCACTGTCCCCACCACGCTGTCCTACCAACGTCCTACTGTCTCACTGTCCTACCACTGTCCCACGCTGTCCCAGTGTCCCACCACGCTGTCCTACCACTTTCCCAGTGTCCCTGCCACTGTCCCACTGTCCTGAAGAGCGGGAATCGTTTGCCGGCGGCGACGGGGGGGGGTTCGGGGGGTTCGAACCGGTAGCGACCCCCTCCTGTTCATGATGGACGGAGGGGGAGGGGAAGGGCGGGGGTTCGAACCGGTAGTGACACCCACCCGGTTTTTCGAAGGGGGGGGAGGGACGGGTAAGGAACCCCCAGTGACACCCCCCGGTTTCCGCCAGCAGCGGTAGAACACGCTCTTTCCGACGTCGAGGTCCTTCTCACGACGTCGGGTGAAGGGGGGAGAAGGAGGGAGGCGAAGGAGGACGATGGTCCAGAGCTCCAGAGCTCCGACGTCACTTCTGACACGCAGGACCTGCCAGGCCCAGAGCTGTCGACCCCTCCCTCTAGGGCTGGGTGGAGGGAGAACGCGACCAACGAGTCGCACAACCGTGCGGCTGGCACAGCAGTGCGGCTCGGAAGAGCCGCCAGGCAGGCATGCCAGGAACGCGGCAACAACCGACCAACTCTCCCTCGCTCGCCATGCCTTTGCCCCGCTCCTCGTCTTTGTTCGTACCCGCCTCTGCCCCACGTCGTCGACGTCCTCGTCCTTCAAGGTCTCCTCCTGATCTTCTTTGTTATCTGTAGAGCTCCAACCCACAAGGTGCAATCTGCTACAAGCGTGAATGCGAACACTCAGTCATACTTGGCCGAAGCGCGCGATACATGTTTCGTAACAGCTGACGTTGCGATCTGAATCCCCCTCCTCTTTACACTGCCTCGCCCTTTCTCCCGCCCACCTCTTACTTTCCTCCTGCTTCCAAGGCTCCCGACGTCGTGTGCATGTCGCACTGCGTGGACCCACAAATGTATGGTCCCCTTACCCCAAGACCAACTACTCATCCTTGAGTCGTTTTCTGACGGTCATGAAGGCCCAGTGGAACAAAAAAACATAATCAAACATCAAACAATGACTCAGAGCCCCAAGCTGTCTGCCGTGATCTTGTGTCCGCGCCGTTGAAGTGTAACGTTCGGGGGGGCTGATTCATGGTGGGAAACATAAAGCTGGAAACTACGATTGCTGACAGATCAGCGATCTGTTCCCGATAGCAAATCCGCGCGTTCCTGTGTTGGGTGGGCTGTCGGGCCCTGTATCTATTGGCGATCAGGGGGGACTGGTAGTCGATGCGTCGTTGCCCCCTGGCTTTCGGTGCCCCCTGGCTTTCGGGGCATCACTTGGCTCGCTGGTGGCCGCTCGGGACGATCCGGGTACCCCCAAGAACGCCTGGCAAGGCGCAGCTGCACGAAGGCACCCCGAGGCTGGAAAACCGCCAAACACAAACGAAACTGTCTGAAAACCTTGGCCCTCGAATCTCGAGCCCCCCAAAAAAACGTTGCCCCCCTCCTGCCTCCTGTCCGTGCCCAGCGCGATCCTCATCGCCCTCGCAGGCGCCCGCCGCGGCGGACGCCGCCTCGGAGGGGTCGGACGAGAAGAGGGTGATAGTAAAGAGAAAGGCTTGTGAAGCAGCTCAGCCGGGTGTTTATTACAACGGGGAGGCAGTAAATGTGGAGAGAAGGGAGGGCGCAGAACTGGCCGCCGGGGTCCAGCGCCGATCCAAAGAATCCGCGCGGAGCTCAGACAGTTTATGTTTCTGCAGTCTCTTCTCTGAGTAGAAGCGCGCGACTTTCGTGCACCCTGTGGGCCCACGGTGGCAGTGAAGGGGCCGTTGAGGGCCCAGGTAGGGCCATTTTCCTGCAATCCTCGATCCACCCGTTGCCGTCGGCCTGGCTCATGCAGCAGGCTTTCCCTGACGACTGCCGGCGCCGGAGGCGCCCGCGTATCGCGAGGGGCGCGCCAGGCGGCGGGGCCGCGTTGCAACCGTCTGCGAGCAGCGGATTTCCACAGCGATGTCCTCCAAAATGGTCACTGAATGCCTCCGACGCCGCAGGATTTCTCACACATTGGCTTCCCAAAGATCTGGGGCGCCTTCCCAAGGGCCAACTTCTCCTGACCAACCGCTTTTTTTCCACGGCCCCGTGAAGGAAATTGTTGAGAACCTTCCGTCGCTGTTTTCCACCAATCGAGGGCCCAGACATCCTGTGGTACGTATGACCTTGTCGGTCCGCGCCCCCAGAGGTCCGGTCCCAGCCCCTCCTTGTCAAAGTAAACATGTTTTCATCCCTGTTCCCTTTTTTGCTGGTCCTAGGGCCCGATGACGGCCGCCCCAGAATCCGAACGTCGAGGGGAAACGCCCGGACTGTAGACAATCAGGCGCTCCCTCATCGATCACCAGACGCGAGCGCACGCCAATGCACTCCACAGACGGCATGACGAGGACACACGAGGCTCCCATGACTTGCGACCGAGACCTCCACCAGTCATCGGCGCGGGGACTGCTCAGGGGATAGGAAAGGAAGGCCTCCCCTCCTCCTCCTCGCCATCCTCCTCTTCCTCCTCCTCCTCCTCCTCCTCCTCCTCCTCCTCCTCCTCCTCCTCCTCCTCCTCCTCGCAGAGGGTTGCTTCCGCCATTCCCTCCTCGGGCCTCCTCCTCCTCCTCCTCCTCCTCCTCCTCCTCCTCCTCCTCCTCCTCCTCGTGGGTGGGCCGCCCCCGTTTCCTCCGACGCCAGGCCTCGGAGGCGAGGCTCTCTCTGACCCCCGCGGAAGCGCCAGCCGCCGCCGCCGCCGCCGCCGACACCGCCAGGGAGGGGGCTCTGCGGCGCCTCGCCGGGCTGCCCCGCGCTGTGGCGCGCGGGGGCGCCGCCCGTCGCCGCGTCCCCTGGCCGCCAGGAGGAGGGGCTCCTCCTCCTCCTCCTCCGCCTCCTACTCCTCCCTGTTGAAAGGGGCAAATGTTGCAGCAACAGCGCCCGAACTGGAAGCGACAGAATTCCCCCCCCTCCACCCCACCAGCCTCGACATCGGAAAAGGTTGCCGTTCGAGACGATGGGCTTCAGATGGTTCTGGCCCCTCTTTTTAGGGGAGCGCTTGTCGAATAGTAAAGCCGGGGTGGGCGGACGGGGGTCATGCGAAGTGGCTCCTAAACATTTGTTGCGAAGATTTCCTTTTAACGGTCAGACAAGACAGGACAAGGCAAGACAAAACACGACACGACAAGAACACTTGCGAGCCATTAATTAGTTTGATGTCTTGAAAGAGATGTAACGGGATGCAGGCAGTGAGTGGACAAGGTATGTCATGTGGAAGATGTCTTTGTGAACGCTGTGGGGTAGCGTCTGTGTGGTGTTTCAGCTTGGGAGTTCTACTTAAATTTCAGCCTGGCAGATCTCCGACGACATGTCTTGCTTTCTTTGCGCGGCCCCAGACGTCCCGTCCCTTCCCACGGGGTAGTCTTTCGCCCCAGGTCCGTTTTTGACGCCACGGGGCCCGATCACGGGCCCCAGAACAACCGAGATCGAGGAAACAAAAACCCAGGATGGAACAACGTCGCTCTGACGGGGCCCAGGGGCACACTGACAAATAGATGCAGAGGTCCCAGGACCCCCCTATAGTTGTTCCATACTTCCTGGACGTTCGCCTCCCCGATCCCCTTCCCATAGTTTTTTGTTGTTGTTTTTTTTGAAGGAGTCGACGATTTGTTGCGTGCGTCGTTTCCCTCCCCGCACCCGTCGGAGGCCTGGGCTCCCTGCCTGGCGGCCCGCCCCCTCGCCGCCCGCGGAGGCGCCGCCCGCCGCCGCTGGGCTGCCAGGGTGCTCCGGGGGCTCCCCGCGCCCGGAGCCGTGGGCGCCGCCGCGCGGGGCCGCGCCAGGGGCGTCCTCGGAGCGGTCGGGGGATGGGCCAGCTCTGCCCCCCACCACTGCACTCGGACCTGGGCAAGAAGAACATCCCTCAAGGACACGAGACCCTCCGTTGGCCAGAACAGGCAGAACATCCAAGGGTGCCCTCCTCTGGGTGCACAGGAACATCCAACAAGCTCGAAGAACATTAGGGGACCCTCCCCGAACCGACCTCGATCTTATACCTCGGCCCGACCACAGGCAGGACGGGGGAGAATAGAGGATGGGGAGGTCCTCTTCCTCATTCTACGGTGGACATGCGTTGGCTTGCCAGAGCCGTCGCGTCTTTCCTCCTCCTCCACCTCCTCCTCTTCCTCCCCTCCCTGTTTCTCCTCCTCCTCCTTCTCCTCCTCCTCCTCCGCCTCCTCCCCTCCTCCTCCTATCTCCTCCTACCTCTGGTATTGGTGGTGGGAAACATCGGCCCCTCATCGGGGCGCGCTCTCGGGCGCGGCCGCGGGGGGGGGCTGCCTCCTTGGCGGACGCGGAGCTGGGCGACGCCTCGCCTGGCAAGGGGCCCCAAAGGTGGCGCCCAAGGACATACCAGTACTGTCATTCGCCTGCCTATGGGGGTCAAACTACTACGGGTCAGTGTCAGCGAAGGGCAAACTGGGACAAGTATTTCCATAGGAGCTGCCCAGGACAAAACAATGCAGGCATCGCTTTTGATAAGCATGCGACCCGAAGAAGGAACATCAGCGAAACTAAGCTTGTTTTCTTGACACCAGTAGCAGGCGAAAGATACTGTGTCTTCCTGGGAGGCGTGCGTCCGACCCAAACATAATAAGGACATGCGGGAAGGATGCAAAAGGGCCTTGGAAGGCTGTGTCGACGCTATCCTCGGAGGCGTGCGTCCGACCCGAATATCTAAGACAATAACACGTTTCATGAGGACGCGCGGTACGAATGCAAAAGGGCCCTGGAAGGCTATGTCGACGCTCTGCGGGCGGGACGCGGCCGGCGAAGGCGGCCAAGAATGGGCCCAAGGGGAAGGATGCAAGGGTGACTGAAAGACCGCTCATCCTTACTATGCGGGTTGATTGATAATATCCGTATGTTGGGATGGCGCCGACCGACGCAGGATCGGATCTCGAGGCTGGATCCGATCGGCAGCGGGCCGCGCTACCAGGCGTGCTGGCGTGGGGAGAAAAACGCGACGGGAAGTTCTTGGATGTATTCGGCCTCACTCGGGACCGTCAAAAGATGGATCGGAATTGAAAAGCCGGCCCAGGGGGAAGGATCGGAACTTCCGGCGGGGACGCGGTACGGAAACAATCAAGGCATCGAATGTCTGGGCCGGGATCGTTTTGGAATCGGACCTTTTGGGATCGCAGATTGGGTTCGGCCCCTGTAGGCCGGAGAGGGGCTCGGCTCGCGAGGGCTCGGATTGGATCGAGGTCGGCATCGGAATCCAAGTATGAAATCGGATCGTGGGCAACGCTGCCTGGGCACCCGCTCGGTGTCGGGCAACGCTGGCCGAGGCCGAGCCGATCCGAGCCGCGGAGGGGCGGGCCTGAGCCAGCTAAGGGATGCCCCACTTGGCCCCGCAGCCCTCCGCGAAAACTTGAAACCGGATCTCCCCTAACGAGCGAAGAACGGCATGGAATGATAGGTTCCGCGATCGGGGGCGCCCCCAGGGCAACTAGGCAAAGTATACCCCACCCGCCGCCGTAGGGGTATGAACTTCTCAGCCGCCTGGGTGACAAATGCCCCCGATGGCAGAGGAGGAGGAGGAGGAGGAGGAGGAGGAGGAGGAGGAGGAGGAGGAGGAGCGCCCGCTAAATTCTGACTCCCGCGACCCGTGGCCCCCACAAGTACATGATCAGTTTCTCGTTTCTCGCAGCGTGGCCTGCAGGTTCTCCGCAGGAGCCTAAGACGTCGTCATCAGTTCAGGCGCGAACGTTGAAGAAAGAGGAGGAGGAGGAGGAGGAGAAAATCACGTTCGGAAGGCCGCGCGGAATTATTGGATCTTCGCGGCCCCCCTGGCGACGAAGGCGTCGCCAGGGGGGCCTAGCGCCGATCCGATAAATCTGTGCGGACCTCGGTAGGGGCTACTGGCTCCGCCGGGCTGCAGGAACAACATGCTCTACATTTCACGGAAGGATGTAAGTTGGAGCCCCCGCGACCGGCGTCACGGCTGCGGCTGCGCGGGCGCGGGCCGGCGTCCTGGCCGAGGGTGCCCAGAACATGTCGCTGCGGCAGCACGACTCCCCCCGACCCCATCCCGACCCCACCCGATCTCGTCTTGCTTAAAGCAAATTCATGGTTAATGTCGTGTCGACTTCGGCGTTGGTTTCTGACACCGCGTGGACCATTCAACCTTCAACCATGGGCGGCTTCCCGATCTGTAGAAACTGCTGGACGGATTGGTGCCTCCCAGCCAGGGCTGGCCACTTCTGGCTTTCGAGCGTCCGCGTCGAGTCCTACCAGATGTCAATCAGAGCAGGGTGGCGCACTTTCGCCCAGAGCGGGGCACAGACCAAAGAAAGCCAACATAAGATCTTGCTAGATCCCGCGCTTCGGCTTCTCAATGGTTAAGTCGGGATCCGACGTCGCTGTTTTTATTTCACATTGCGGGCCAAACGCGACGAACACACACACACGCACGCAGAATGCACGCACGCACACACACACACACACACATAAGCACACACGCACACACGCACACACGCACACACAAGCACACGCGCACACGCGCACACACGCACACACAAGCACACGCACACACGCACGCACGCACACCCTTACACACGCACGCAGACACACATACGCACACACATACACATCTACACAAACACACACACACACACCGATCCACACCTAGACGACCACCCTTCGGGTGATAAAGAGGTTGTGGGGGGGAAGGGTCTGTTTGGCCATCTATCTATTACTCGGGGCACACATCGAAAAACATCTGGGCAACCAATGGAGCAAGTGCTATTGATTTGCCCCGGCGCTCTTCCCTTCAAGAACAAGATGCTAAGAACATTCAAGCCGCAAGGCACCACGAGATACTACGGGACACCAAGTAAAACCGCTGCCGATCCCGCTACCGATCTCCCTCTATCTATCGATATCATATTCTGTCGACCTCGCCGTCGATCTCCCTTTCGATCTCACGATCGATCGATCCTGCAGTCACTGCCGATCCAAATTTCAGATTATCGTCCGACCACACTGTTGATCTCACTCTCAATCTACCGATCGATCTCACGGTCGATCTCCCTCGATCTATCCGTCTCACCATCTCACGATCTGACAGCCGACCTATCTACCGATCTTACGATCGACCTCACGATCGTTTTGTCGATTGATCACTCTACCGATCTCACTACCGATCTCATTCTCTCAATCTCACTCTCTCAATCGACCTTACTATCGATCTCCACGGGTCACCGCGGGACACCGCGCCACGGGACACCACGGGACACCACGAGACACCATGTAGCACAACGGAACACTGGCGGGACACCCTGGGGACACCGCTGGCCAATCGGGGGATTGCGCCCAATTTCCTCTTAGCCAGGGCGGGATGATTCCTCTCGCCAGCCCACGCATCTCCGCATCGCCCGCGCGCACCGAAACCGAAAGCGATTTCCTGGTGGGGGGCTCTTCGCTTTACGGCGATATCACCACCCAACCTCCGATCCACGGGCTTCCTTCCGGCCGAGAAGTCCAGACCGTGAGGCCGTGGACGTGGATACGTGTCCCCCGCCACCACGAGTGGGCCCCTGGAGCGGGCTGGTTTCCAGGTGTCCGACACCAAGACGAAGCTAGGACGAACAGAACATCGGGCCGAGGCCGAGACATACCGGATATCTCTGAGCGCTGGTGGGCCTGGAGGGCTCGGGTGTTGCCGAAGGCTTCCCTGGCCCAAGGGGTCCACAGGATTTGCAGGGGGGCCCCCAAGGCCTCCAGGGCACCACTCACGAGGCTCAGGGGTTGGCCTCTGAGAACGCCGAAGCGACAACACACGAACGCCCCAAACGGTGTATTTCCGACTGGCCAGATCAAGCTCCCGGCCTGCTTCGGGTCGCGTTTCGACGACCAGAGGGCTTCGGGCTCCCGGAGCCCCAAACGGGCCCCCAAAAGACCCCCACATGGAAAGCCTCCTGGAGGCCCAGACCGCCAACGTTGTTTTTTTTCGCGACGTGGCCTGCCAGGGGCCCCCCAAAAAACGTGAACGACAAAAACAGCAACATATGGTGAAACGCGTTTTTCTCGTTCCTCGAATGACGAGCGACGAGTACAGTGACGGCGACGAGGACTACGACGACCACAACGACCGACCTCCAGACCTGTCCTCGGGCGCGTTCTGTCCAGAATTTCAAGGGGAACCCAGCCGCTGCGACGGTGATCGCCCCAGGAGGCCCAGGAAGGCCAACACAAGCCAAATAACCTCGCTCCTCGATCCCTTCTTTTGGGTTCCCTTTCTCTCTCTCTCTCTCTCTTTCCCTCTCTCTCTCTCTCCCTCCATATATATATATATGTATATGTATATGTATATATATATATATATATATATATATATATATATATATATTCACCTTCGCCGACTACGGGGACCGACGGACGGACCGACGACGACGAAAAAAAGCGACGACGGCGGCGGAGCCTCCAAGAGCCCACGCGCGCCTACGACAACAATCGAACTCCGACGAGCTGCCGAGGCTCATCGAAGAGCGTTGACCCCAGGCGTCCATGCGTCGGCGGCGGCGGCGACGACGAACGACGGGTGGCCCAAGAGCGGCCTCCAGAATCACTCGACGACGGCGCCCGCCCTGGGACGCGCTCTGGCCAGAATCTCGAGGGGGAACCCAGCCGCCAGCGACCAGGAGCGCCTCAGGAGGAGGAGGAGGAGGAGGAGGAGGAGGAGGAGGAGGAGGAGGAGGAGGAGGAGGAGGAGGAGGAGAAGGAGTCACGAACCTCGCTCCTCGATCCTGGGCCCCAGATCCTCGCCGACGGCGGCGACGACGGGCCGACCGACCGAATGACGGCGCACAACAAGGACGGACGACAACGACGACGATGGCGGCGAAGCCTCGCAGAGCCTCTGAGGAGCCCCCGAGAGCCTGCGAAAACCATCAAAGGCAGACGAGAACTTCGGATGACGATCGACGACGGACGGTCGACGATCCTCAATCCTCGACGACGACGGTCGACGACAGGCGATCGACGAACGATCGACCGACTGACCGACCGACGACAACAATAGATGACGGTCAAAGATGACGGCGGATCCTCCGAGCCTTTGCGAGCCTCCGAGAGCATCCAAACCGTCGGAGGCCGACGAGAAACTTTGAAAATCATCGAGAACCTTCGACCCCGGCGGCGGCGACTACGACGAACGACCAGCGACGACGGCGGCGGAGCCTCCGATAACCTCTGGACGCAATCGAAAGCCGAAGAAAACGTCCAGCAGCGACGACGACGGCGTACAGACGACGACGACCGACTAGCGACGACGACTAACGGCGACGGCGGCGACTACGGCGAGGACGGCGAACAACGACAACCACCGACGAGGACGACGAACGACGACGCTCCACGACGGACGACGAAGATCGACGACGGATAATCGACGACGGACGACGACCGCCACGGACGATCGACGACCGAACTTGGGGCGAGAACCTCGACCGATGGATACTCGGTCGATCGATCCTCGACGATCCTGGACGACGACTGTCCTCAACGACAACCGATCGATCCACGATCCCGACGACGACGACCGACGGACGATCGACGATGGTAGACCGACGGACAGCCGACGACGGACGACGACGGCCACAGACGATCGACGGTCCTCGACGATCCTCGACGACGACGACGGTCCTTGACGAAGACCGATCGATCGACGATTCCCGACGACGACGGCCGACCGACCGACCGACCGACGGACGATCGAGCTCCGCGGGCGCGGGGACCCACGGCCCGGGCATTCGCTCGTCCACTCGTCGCTCGTCCGCTGGTCGTTCGCCCTTCGTTCGCCGTTTGTCGTTGCTCGCTCCGTCGCTCGTCGGCCGGCGCTCGTTGGTCGTGGTCCGTCGGTCGGCGCTCGCTCGTCGGTCGTTGCTCGTCGGTCCTCGCTCGTCGGTCGTTGCTCGTCGGTCGCTCGTCGCTCGTCGCTCGTCGCTGGTCGGTCGTCGTTCGTCGGTCGTGGTCCGTCGGTCGTCGTCCGTCGTCCGCCGCTCGTCGCTCGTCGGTCGTCGCTTGTCGTCGCTCGCCGTCCGACAGCGGAGCCCGGGCCTCGACCTCCTCGGACTCCGCGGGGGCGGGCGCGGCCGAGGACAGGGCCTTGCGCGGCTCCGCGCGCGCGGGGCGCGCCAGCGCGCGGGGCTTTGCGCGCGCGGGGAGGCCACCGAAGGGGTATGAGGGCCGAGGGAGGAAGGGAGGGACGGCCGACCCGACGGGAGGGAGGGAGGGAGGAGGGAGGAGGAGGTGGATCAGGGGGGTGAGAAGGAGGATGTGAGAAGGAGGATCTGAGGAGGAGGAGGAGCAGGATGGGGGGAGGAGGAGAGACGGATGAGGGACAGAGGGAGGGAGGGAGGGAGGAGGGAAGAAGGGAGGAGCAGGAGGAGGAGAAGGAGGAGGAGGAGGAGGAGGAGGAGAAGAGGAGGAGGAGCAGGAGGAGGAGGAGGAGGAGGAGGAGAGGAGGAGGAGCAGGACGGAGGAGGGAGGAATGAGGACTTCAGGAAATGGAATTGAACGTCAAGTGGTCTCAAGGACGGTGAAGATAATGCAGACTACTCTGAACAACCTCATCTTCACATAGGGCTTAATCGCTCTTCGGAGTAAGGAGGGAAGAGAAGGGAGCATGAGAGAGGAGGAGGGAGGCGGATCGAGGATGAGATGAACGAGAAGGTATTGGAAGAGGAAATGAAGTCGACCGAAGCCTTCCGGCGGAAGATGGCCCGACACTTTGTTTACCTGCAAATGTAATGATTCGTGCGTTTGAGAACCCTTTCGGGTTCTCGGAGGCCTGTGCTGGGACCTCTGTCATGTCCTCCTACTCCTGCTCTGTCTCGAGCTGCAGCTTCTGCTCCTCCCCCATTTGCTCCTTTTGTTTCCTTTCCCTCTTCCTCTTCCTCCTTCTGCTCTTCCGACTCCTCCTCCTCCTCCTCCTCCTTCTCCTCCACCTCCTGCTCCTCCTCCTCCCCCTTCGTCTTCCTCCTCCTCCATCAGCTCCTCATCGGTCTTTCCCTCCTCCTCCTCCTCCTCCTCCTCCTCCTCCCTCCTCCTCCTCCTCTCCTCTTCCTCCTCCTCCTCCTCCTCCTCCTCCTCCTCCTCCTCCTCTTCCTCTCTTTCTCCTTCTCCTCCTCCTCACCCCCACCCTGTCCTCCTGCTGCTCCTCCAGCTCCTCCTCCTGCTGCTCCTCATGCACCTCCCCCTGTTCCTTCCTCCCCCTCTTATTTATATATATATGTACATCTATAGTTATTACGTATGTGTAGAAGTATGTGTGTACACGTATATATGTATATATATATATATATGAATGCGTATATTATTTTTGTCCCTTCACATCTCTTGCCCCTTCCCGTTGCCTCCCTTGGCCCTGCCCACTCCTCGCTCCTCCCTACAAGTACAAATTTCTGCACAAGCATACACTTTCGACTGTCCGCGTGGACTTCTTGGATCGGCGCTGGACCCCCTCCCTGACGCGCGGAGCGCGCCAGGGGCGGCTCCGATCCAATCAATCCGCGTGGACCTCTGGCAATGCATGTTTAGGCCGCTTTTTGTTCCTCGACTCGTTCCCCTCCTCGACAAGATTGCAATGTCGTGAAAAGCTCGACTGGCGCACTGGATCCCACCTTTCTGCGCATATTTTCCAAGCCGGATCGATTCGTGAGGGCCTGAAGCAAGGCAACATCGCGCATTGTGGAACATCTGCGGGGCCAAGATCCTAGGGTCCCTGTTCTGTTCTGTTCTGTTCTGTTCGGTTCAGCTGCTATGATGACCACCCCATTGAGGGGAACAACTCCTGACGCCACTAGACCGACTGTACACTGCTCCGCACAAGCGTCGAAACATGTGCCTAAGCGCTCAATGCAACGCGTGCGACAGCAAGAGCAGCGGCCGGAAGAGGAAGCAGACGGCGAAGAGAGAGAGAGAGAGAGAGGAACAGAGAGAACGAGCAAGATGGCAGCAAGGAGGAAGTAGGAGAGCGAGCGAGGGAGCAGGGTCCCTCGCCCCCTCCCCTTGCTCAGCCTCCCCCCTCCCTCCCCGGAGCTAAGGCGCGGGGCCGGGTGGAGCCCGCAGAGCTGCCGCTGGGGCTGCGGCGTCTCGAGCGGGGCGCGGCGCAGGCGCCGCGCCTGCCTCTGGAAGTCGCCCTGCACCTGCGGCGGCCCGCGCTGCACCCGCTGGGGCCCAGGGAGGACAAGACAGGACAAGAACCGATGCGAGCCACAGTTCCTCTAGCCAGACTGGGGGGAAGATCGCTGGCTCTCGGATGCGTACACGTCGTTCATCTCTAATCGTGCTCATTTCTAATTGTGCTCGTTTCTAATTATTCCTGGCCCCCTAGTGGCCAGGAAGAGGCTCAGGATAGAACAAGTAGAAATGAAATGAGCTTGGCCCCCCAAAAAAACAAAGAACCTTCGAATCATTAGAAATGAAATGACCAATGCGTGTGGGAACGCCCGCCGGCGGCCACCGCGGGAAGGACAGCCTGCACCGGCCGACCACGCGACGGCTGTTGAGGGGAGAGCGAGCCGCCCGCACACGGCACCGTCCTGGCCCAGGCAGCGGGGGGCGAGGAGGAGGGACAGCAGGGGGACCCGGACATGCTGGCGCCGCGAACAGGAGCCACGGCGGACACTTGTCGGTCGCGCTCGGCCTCCAAGGGCCCTCGCCGTGCTCGGGGACTGTCAAAAACAACGACCTGGGATGAAGCACTGGGTACTTCGAGCAGCCATACCCGTTCTGCAAGCGATCCAACACAAGAACATCAACCAACCTCTGGTTTGCATGGCAAATATTCAAGCCTCTCTGCCCACGCGCATTTGCGGAACTCGCGAGGAAGCCATCTGAGCTTAGCCATCTCGGCCAGACACCGCACTTTCATTCCACCACGCGGTTCGCCTTGCGCTGACCCAGCGTGCGCCCAGCACAGAATCGTATCACGTAATATCATGCGGGCCACAGGCGCGCGCCGCCACGCACGCGTGTCGAAATCCATCCCAGGCCGATTGCTTTCGCAACGTTTCAAGATAAAGCTCTTCATGCACATAGGGAAAGACGAAGTCTTTTCAGCATCGTGGTATGTTAGCTTTCTTGAATTCCTGCGCGCGCGCAGCCTCACCATTACCCTCATCACAGCCATCGCATCACAGCCGTTACCGGCATCCTCAATCGTCGCCAGTGCTGTCATCATCATCCAATCGCTTTCATCACCAACGCATGGGCATCATCATCGTCATCGTCGTCAACAGCATCGGCGCCATCATTGGCCTGGCCGTCGTATTCGTCATCTTCGCCAACATAGTCCTTACTACCATCATAGTTGTCGCCTTTGTCGGCGTCACCATGACACCGCGCCCGCTCGAGCACCCATTGTGCAAACCAGCAGGCTGCTCTGCGTACGAACTTGCGCAAGCCAGCGCGGTCGTGAAGATGCACCAGCCAATGTCCAGCACAAGTGCAACCGTGGCCGCGTGGGTTTAGCAAAACCAAAAAGCGGGCGGAACGATGGGATGTTTGCGTGAGCAGTGGAGCTGACAACTCACTACCTACAATCATGAATTACATTACGTGTCTTATATCGCATGTGACAAAACTTAGCTTGCGCCACACAGGTAATACAACATACCTTGCACCACACATCTCACGCCACATAGCTCATACCGCGCGGCTTACACTACATCCCCTAGTTCACCTAGCTTGCGCCATGTAGCCTACACCGCATGCCTAGCCACACATAGCCTGTACCACAAACTTTCACCACATACATTGCACCACGTAGCCTGCACCACGTACCTAGCACCATATAAGTAGAGCGTCGACATTGCACAACCGTATTTGTCGGGGTCCATGCTTCACCTGCCGACAGCCACGCACACCGCACACGTCAGATTGCATTGCAAGCTACGCTCATTGCCACTAAACCCGTGAGGACGAAGAGGAGGGAGAGTGGCAAGCGTGCTTGCCAACCGCCGCTGGCACGATCACCGCTGCTTACAATCTTTGCGAGGGCAAGGGGTGACAAAAAAAAATCAAACGGCGAACGAAGGAGAAGGGGAAGAGGCTGTTAACACGTAGACGTGGCAATCTAAACGGCTGTCGAAGCCGAACCACTGTACACAAAAACGATCCGTAGTCCCGGACTTGGGCCAGGCAAGGGGACAGGGACGAAGATGACCAAGGCAAACACAGGTGGCAAACTCGCGCGTACGTGGGCCAATCTGAATGGACGGCGCCCGCACGGAAGCCCTCGCGAGTGCAACCGAGGGAGACCAAGAGGGGGAAGGGGGAGCAGGAGGAGGACGGGGCACAGAGCGAGGAGAGAAGGGCAGAACCTGCTGGATGTAGGCGCTCGCCAGCGACATGCCACAGATCTGACAGGATGAGCGCGGGCAAGCGCTCCCCCGGCAGCGCGCGCGCGCGCGAACCGCGACGGCTGGCAAGAAGGCCACGCCTGGGGCCCATCCAGCCAGGGTCGACCAGCAGCAGCGAGCACGAAGGGGGCCCACGCGCGTTGCGAAGGCACGCGGGTGCGCGCACGCGACACCAATGCGCAGGAGCAGGGGGGGGGGAGAGAGAGAAGAAGGGGCGTGAACAACCAGCCTCCGCGAGCGGCTACTTACTTCACCCTCCGGCCTCTCACCCGATGGTCGTTTCTTGACGGCCCCGAGGCCCAGAACCGGCCCGCGGATGACACAGACGACCACTAAGCGGCCTCCCCGGACTTTTCGAAACGTCGGGTGCCCCCAGGGACCCGACGTCGCGAGCAATTTTCCTTCGCAAGACATCACTGGTAATTAACCATACCACATCACGATTCAAAACGCCGCTGGGCAAACTGGGAACACCGCTCGAGCCAACCTGCACGCAAGCTCATGCTATGCACCGTGGCGTGGGCAACATCTCGGCAATGCAGGTGCTCGACGTCGCGAACAAACATGCAACATAGTGACAAAACCACTGCCAGAACCCTGGACCCCAACTTCCGGCGGCACTTCCGGCGCCGGACCTTTCCGGAAGGGCCCCAAGGCCCGAGACTGGGCGAACACGGCCAGTGTTAGGCCGGGCCTGTCCCTCTACAGGAGGGAGATACAAAACTATATAAAAATAGTACAAATAATCTGGGGACGATTTTTTGTTGGGATAATCTTTGAATATGTTTGCTGTATTTTTGGGGTATGTCTGATTTTTGCCAAAATCCGCCTGTAGGGGGACAGGCCCGACCTAAGGCCAGTGTGAAAAAACTGCGCCGCCCAGGTCTCAGGGCCCAGAAAAGAGCCATCTCTCAGATTCAAGGGCCCGCCACCCAGACCCCCGACGTCGGGATGTCTCCACAACGTGGACCCCGGGAGGCCTGAACGCTTTCCCCAGGGCCGGTTTTCCACCTCGAGTTGTTTTGTCGACGGTCCTGGGGCCTCGTGAAGGGCCTTCCAAACCCTTCCGCCGTGTTCTTTCACGAAGCGAAGGGGGCCAGGGTCCACGGCTCAGAATGAAGGGCCCTGGGAAACACAAATAAGCACACACAAATAACCAGATCCCCTATATTTTCACATATCTTCTGGGCTGTTGTCTGCCCACCCACTACCCATATTCCACATTTTCTGGGGAATCGAAGATTAGTTGTGCCTGTGTGTTTTCTCCCTTCCTGACAGAAGCTCGGCCTCACCCCAGACCCATTCTGTGGCGCGTTCGGGTCGCAGCCTCGAGGCGGGCCCCGCCGTGGCGACAAGGAGCCCCCCCCGCAGGCCCGGGAAGAGCGAGGGGCCCCCCCTCGAACCTCGAGAGGGGCTTGGGTGGGGGGGGGAGGCATGAGCTGAGCCAGAAGGGTCGCGAGTGGCAGAGGCAGGAATGTCCGCCTCTGTCACCCTCTTGGCTCTTGTTTGGGCTCAGAGGTCCCCTCCTCCAGCCCGTGCTGCTCGAACGCTTCATGCACGCATCCTACGGGCGGTGCTGCTTGGCACGAGTGCCAAACCCGCGTGCAGCGGGATCACGTGCAGGCGGCAGGCGATACCAGCGAGGTAGGTGCTGGGACAGGAGGGAGTCGAAGAAAACAAATCATCAGAGGTAACGCGGCTCAGGGGGGAAACGTCGAGCTGGACTCGGCGGCACATCTCCGAGAGGTCAGCGATAGGCACCCCAGCGCGAATCCACACTTTCTTGGGAGAGGCGGGCTATCGGGCTCCTGTTGGCGATGCATGGGCGATTGGGGGCCGATGCATCGCCCTCTTAGCCTGTTCTCCCCTAGAGTTGCCCCTGGCTTTCGGTCATAACTCGATCGCCCTCTTATCCTGTTCTCCCCTAGAGTTGCCCCTGGCTTTCGGTCATAACTCGGCTCGCCGGCGACCGCTCGGGGTGATCTGGGCACCCCTGGAAAGCCATCGGCGAGGCGCAGCTGCTGGAACGCACCCCGAGGCTGGAAAACCGTCAGGAACCTACGAGAACATCCGAAAACCTCGAACCTCGAATGCCCCCCTTAACGCTGCCGCTGAGATCAGCACTGCCCCCCTGGCCAAATATGTTCAAAATCGGTCCCCAGACCCTGCGACGGCCATCCCGATCCGCGTTTCGAAGCGGAACCGGCCGTGGCGACGAGAAGCATCCACGAGGCTCAGTTAAAATCAAAAGCGGAACAAACAGAAACTTTCGACGGTCCGCGCAGAGTTCTTGGTTCTGCGCTGGACCCCCTCCCTGGCGCGCGAAGCGCAGCAGGAGGAGGAGGAGGAGGAGGAGGAGGAGGAGGAGGAGGAGGAGGAGGAGGAGGAGGAGGAGGAGGAGGAGGAGGAGGAGGAGGAGGAGGAGGAGGAGGAGGAGGAGGAGGAGGAGGAGGGAGGAGGAGGAGGAGGAGGAGGAGGAGGGGGAGGAGGGAGGAGGGAGGAGCGAGGGAGGGGAGGCAGGCGAGGGAGGGAGGGAGGGAGGAGGCAGAGGAGAAGGAGCCCCCCCATCGAAGCGGGCACCTCGCTCGGCACGGGGTGGAGGCCCCGCCGCTCGAAGGCTTCGGCGCCGGCGGGCGGCCACGGGGGCAAAAGGTCCCTGCGCTCCCGGCGGCCGCGCCCTCCCTCGAGGATTGATGCGTTCCCTCCTCCCTCCACCCTCCCCCTCGCCCCCTCACCCTCCTGATCTCTCCACCCTTCCCCCCGTCCTCCCTGCCACTTCCTTGAACACATAACTCCTCCCGGTCGCCCCCCGAGACGGGCCGGCAGGGCGGGCTAGGCATTTCACCAGGCATGATCATGTAGCTTGAAAGTTGCCAGATCTTCACGGATGGAAGGGGGGGGGGGTCAAACTGTAGCTCTCGCCTTCGCGCCGCGCACACTTGTCCCAACATAAGGCAGAGAGTCTTGCGGACGGAGGAGTGGTGGTGCTCAAAATGTGGCTGTCGCGTCAGCGCTGCGCACGTTCTTTCAAGCATAATGCTAGAGCTTCACGGGCGGAGGGCGGATTCTTCTGAAAACCATGGCTCTCGCCTTTGCTGCGGTCCAAGTGATACCGCTCGTCTTCTCCATGATCGTGCTAAGGAAGCCGTGCGTGCAGAAAGTGTACCTGGGTGTACAGCCGCGGCTTATGGCGGTGGCACGCTTACTGGTTGTGGTGGCGATGCCATTCGTGCAGACGCGGTTCGGGCAGAAGGCGTACCTGGTAGAGGGGCTGCCAACCAAACGGGCAAGAAGAACAACAACAAGAAAAGCAACTAAGATCATCGTGTGCGTGGAGACGGTGGTCCCAGAGCTCTTCCCGTCCGCCTTGCTGATGGTGGCCGTGCGGATCAGCATGTGGGCGCCGCCCTTCTTCTTCATGGTGGTGCTGGCGACGCCGTTCGGGCAGAATGCGTGCCTGGTGGTGCAGGGGCAGAAGGTGTACCTGGTGGTGAAGCTGCTGCTCTTGGCGGCGGCGAGCTTCTTGGTAGTGCCTGTGGAGTCTCTGGCGGTGCTCCTGTTCATGACGGTGGCGCGCTACTGGGGCAAGATAGTGTTGGTGAAGCCGTTCGAGCAGAAGGTGTACATTGAGGTGGAGCTGCTGCTCATGGCGGCTGCAAGCTTCCTAGCAGTGCTGGTGAAGCCGTTCGTGCAGAATGTGCCCCCAGGGTTGGAGCCGTTGCTCATGGTGGTGGCGCGTTACCTGGGCAAGGTCGCGGCGGCGTTGCCGACAACCGCCGTCAGTTCGCGGAGCTCATGCTCTGATACACCTCGAAAATCGGGGGACGAACTGATCAACTTGACGAAGCCCCTGGATCGCATGCAAGAACAACATAACGACATCTACTGCATCATCTGCACAAACACCGATGCCGTGTCTAGGCCGCATGCTCTCGATGACCTGCGGACGGAGGGGTTGGAGGTCCTCTACATCACCGACCCCTCGAATAGTACCCCGCGCTTCGGCTGGATTCTGACGTGAAGCAGCTGATGTCGTACAAGCTGCTGGATGTCAGGAATGATGTCGAGCACTTCACGAGCCTCAGGCTTGTCTGAGGTGCGGAGCGTTGTGGCCCCTCCAGGACCTCCGCTGCCCGCGCCTGCTGCTGGAATCGGCTCGTTCTTCTCGGTCGGGGCTCTGTCTGGGGCTGTGCTGGCGGTGGCGCAGGTTTCCCTGCGCGGCGCGAAAGCCTGCTCTTCCTCTGGTGGGGGCAGCCTTTGGCGGGCTGTGGGGGTGCGCCCGTCCGTTCCCGGGGGGGTGGTCCTCTGCTTGTCTTTGACCCCCTCGGGGGCCGTAGCTGGTGGAATGCCTGCCTGGGCGCCCTGGTTCCCTGGGAACCCCTGTCGCCTCGGTGTGCCGTGGCACATTCTTTGGCCCCCATTCGGCTGGAGTTCTCGCGCAAGTGTATATAGTACTCACATGTTCTAGAATCGTCGTCGCATTTTCGGATGCTTCGCCGTTCTATGCTGCGTCCTGCGTCCCTCCTCCTTGTCCTTCTCCTCGTCCTCCTCCTCCTCGTCCTCCAACCTCCTCCTCCTCTTCGCCCTCCTCCTCGTCCTCCTCCTCCTCGCCCTCTCCTCTTCCTCCTCCTCGTCCTCCTCCTCCTCAGCATTTCTCAACACTTCTCCCTCGTTTTCCTCCTCTTCCTCCTACGTCCTGCTCCCTCCTCCTTCTCCTCCTCTTCGACGTTCTTCGTCTCCTCCTCCTCCTCCTCCTCTTCCCACTCTTCCTCCTCCTCCTCCTCCTCCTCCTCCATTCCTCTTCCTTGTGGGTAACTCCTCCCTGTCGCACCCTGGGGCCACTTGGAAGGGCGGGCCGGGCGTTTCGCCTGAGACTGCCTTACGACTTATGATCCTGAAGTTCAGGCGTGCAAGAGTTTCACGGATGGAGTGCAACTGGTTTTCAAACTGTGGCTCTCGCATTAGTGCCGCGCACACCCGTCTTACGTATGGGCAGAGGGCTTCATGGATTGAGGACAGGTCGTTTTCAAAATGTAGCTCTCACACCAGCGCCGTGCACATTCGTCAGATGGTGCTGCAGGAGCTTCACGGATGGAGGGCGGCTCCCTTCCTAGATGTGGCTCTCGCCGTGGCGCCAAACACATTCGTCTTAACACATTGCGAGAGGTCCACGGGTTGAGGGCAATTCCTTTTCAACATGTGGCTCTCACCTTAGCCCCGCGCTCATTCGTTTAAAGACTTTACAACCGTTTCAAATGTGTTTGTGGTTATAGCGTCCCACAACTTGTGTTTTGGCCAGAGGTCGGACTGTCGGGACGCAACAGTTACGTTGATTCGTGGTGTTGGAAATCCAGGAGGGGCGTTCTGGCAAGATTCAGGACCGTCAAGGCGCAACAGTAGCGCTCACCCGTGGCATTAAAGTCCCAGGAGTGGTGATTCGGCACAGCTCAGGATTTTCAAACTGTTGTTTTCCAACGGGGCACTTCCTTCAGTGAAATCAATCCTTCAAGGGGCCTATCAAGAGGGAGCTTGGAAGTGGGGCTTATTGCAACATCGTCGTCGTTGATGAGTCTTGGGTTCAGACTGGTCCACCTGCTCCTCCTCCTCCTCTCTTCCTCCTCCTCCTCCTTCGCGCCGCACCCTCGAGGGAAAAGGCTATGCGCAAACACATGATTGGCGGAAGCCCGCGTGGGTTTCGGCGTTGGAACTCCCTTCGTTTGAGCCGGGAGTTTATCCGTAACCACAGCCTGGGAGAAACTCGGGTTTCGGCGGGCGGTGGATATGGATATATCTCACCAGGCCTTTGGGCTAAGACGATCTAGCGATATCTTTCTCTTCTCTTTCAAAAACCCTCTTCCCCTCGGGGAGGGGTACCCTCCCCGGGGGGACGCGACTTGTCAGGGCGCTCAAGGTGACTGACTCAAGATGGCTCCAAGAGGGCGTCCGATGCTCTACAATTGCCTCCAAGATGGCTCAAGATAGCCGACATGATTCAAGATATCTTCCGACATGGCTCCAAGAGGCTCGACGAGGGCCACAAGACGGTCCAAGTGCTATCGAAGCCCCCCCAGGACGCTCACAAGAGGCCACAATCCTTCAAGCACCTAGAGAAAGTCGATGTTATTTGACTTCTCGCCGTTTCGCTTCCGATGCGCTTTTGAGGCCTCAAGATTGCCACAAGATGGCCCAACAGAGGCCCAAGAGGCGCCCAAGAGGCCTCCCAGACGGCCCCAAGAGCGCCCAAGAGCGGCCCAAGAGCGGCCCAAGAGCACCCCAAAAGTGCCCCAAGAGGCGACTTTGATGGCCCCCGAGGAGGGAGGAAAATCGGGGGCACGCCCCCTTTAATACATGGCTGCCAAAATGTCCCACGGAGTCCCTCCAAGGCTCCCAAGGGACCCCCGAGAGGGCCCCCAAGAGGGCCCCAAGACGGCCCCAAGACTACCCAAATTCGCCCCAAGAGGACTCCAAGATCCCCCAAAAGAGTCCCGAGAGTGCCCAAGAGGCTATTTGAGGGATCTGTCCTCGTCCTCGTTGTCCTCCTCCTCGTCCTCCTCCTCCTTCTCGTCCTCGTCCTTGCCCTCATCGTCTTCCATTTCCTTTCATCCTCTTCCTCGCCGTTGTGGTCGTCGTTGTGGTCGTCGTCGTCGTCGTCTTCCTGCTCCTCCTCCTCCTCCTCCTCCTCCTCCTCCTCCTTCTTCTCCCCCTCCTCCTCTCGCCCGCACGCGGGCCCCAGGGATGGCACGAAGAGGCTCCAAGGCGACCCCCTTGCTCTCAGAGATCTCTCTGTTCGCCCTGTCGTCATCGTCGTCGTCGTCGTCGTCGTCGTCACGTCGTCGTCGTCGTCGTCGTCGTCGTCGTCGTCGTCGTCGTCGTAGTCATCGTCCGTCGGCGTCGGCGTCGTCGTTATGAACCTCCCCATCCCATCTGGGGGGCCTGTGGAACCCTGAGACCCATCCCATCTGGGAGGGGGGAGCGGCCTGTGAACCTTCGATACAGGAATAGATATAGCGGCCTGTGAACTTTCGATCCAGGAGCAGATATGATTAAGGCAATGCCCTTTTCCAAGAGAAGGACACGAAGACTCGGATGAATTCGCGAGCGCTGTATTTTACAGGCTGCATGAACTGGGCACGCCCGATCACAATTCGCAAAGTCGGGAATTGCCGAACGCACACACACACACATCACACATATTCGATCGTGCTGGTTTCTCTGAGTTGCATGCGCCCAACGCTGCGGCAACGGACGTTTTCCCCAGCCTTCTCAGAGGAGTGCGAACATTCTTCCACTGCGGGGTAGGCTTCCTTGGACTTGCCATGTGCGTGTCAGAAACTCAACTGTCGCGGCTGGACATCGCAGTTGCCGAGGCAACAGAGCAGCATCACGCTGCGTTGGTGCCCGAGACGGCCCCTGCGTTGTTATGCAATGCTGGTGAGAGCACCAGACTGCATATCAATGTTTATTGAAACAACAATTCAGCGGCCACTCGAGCTCGCCAACTGGCCTGTGCCGTCCACGCGTTCGCAAGAGAGCGTGGATGCGCTCGGCTTGAATGTGTGATAGGCGGGGGCCGCAATTTCGTGGTGGAGCCTGAGCACTGGTCCTCTTGGTCCACGGGGTCATGGCAACCTGGGAGGCCTGTCCTTGCAGCCTGGG